GGTGTATCATTGGCTTCAGAAGCTGTTCACACTGACCCTTGTCCTTTAGTCTGTAACAGTTCTTCAGCCTTTACCTTTTATGACATTAACAGTTTTTAAGAATGTAGTCCCTGACCCCTTTTGCAAATAGAATATTCCTCATTTTGATTTGTTGGCTGTTTCCTCATGACTAGATTCAGGTTATGCATCCTCAGTTGGAATACTACATAAATGATCTTGTATCCTTTCCAGAGGCACATGATGACTGTTTCCTTCTCATTGGTGATATAAATTTTGTTTGGTTAAGGTGGTTATTTATTTTGGTGCATCACATAAACCATACCTTAAAACAGATTTATCTTTTGTTTTTCTGCTTACAAAGTGAGATAGCTTGTTTTTAAAACTTCAGATGGACATGACATATATGGTATAAAAACGCATGTTCCCCATAACCTCTGAGACTAAACTACTGATTTTAATTTTCCCCCTTCAGAGTTTTTTTGGGCTTAATCTGTGTATTATTTATTTTTATAATAAGATTACATCATTATTTTGCAGTTTGCTTTATTAAATTAAAAATGTATCTTAGAGGTCTTTACATGTAAATACATACAGGTCTATCTCCTTTTTAATGGCTTTATAAATATTTCATTGTATTGATTTATCATATTTCTTTAAATTCTACTGAATCATGGTAGTTCCATTTTTTTGCTGTGATGAACAGTGCTTTTCTTTATACGTACATCCATACACTCTTGTGAATTTCTGTTGAAAAAATTCCTAGAAGTGTAATTGTTGTCAATGTCGAGTCTTTTCATTTTGTATTGCCAGACTACCCCAAGAAGATTGTACATATTTATCCTTAAGAAAATCGTGTGAGACTACTAAATCAGCCCTCTTTTTCTGCCATTTCAGCTGGAAAAGCGACTGGAGGAGTGGTTGGGGAAGACATTGCCTAACAGTGACTGGACACCCAACGCCCGATTCATCATTCGGTCTTGGCTTCGGGATGGTCTCAAGCCACGCTGCATAACCCGAGACCTCAAATGGGGAACCCCTGTGCCCCTAGAAGGTTTTGAGGATAAGGTAAAAACCCTATGCTTTATTCATATCTGATATTATTCTGCCTTGGGGTTGAGAGCCTGGGCTAGCAGTATAAGACTGTTGATTCTATCTTGTTTTAGTCTGAAATTTTGAGGTTGGTGAGATTTACTCAGTGTTCCTTTATTCTACTCTATCTCCCTCCTCCTGACATCTCACAGGTATTCTATGTTTGGTTTGATGCCACTATTGGCTACCTGTCCATCACAGCTAACTACACAGACCAGTGGGAGAAATGGTGGAAGAACCCAGAGCAAGTGAGCAGTTGTTGGTTAGCCTGTCTATTGGGAGGATGCACGTGCATGCATGTGTGCGTGTTGTGCATGTGTACTGGGGGTGTTAGGGTTGAGTATCTGATCTTTCTGGGCCTTTGAAGAAGGTGTCAGGAGCTCTGTCTCCCAACTATATTCTGCAGGTGAACCTGTATCAGTTCATGGCCAAGGACAATGTTCCCTTCCATGGCTTAGTCTTCCCTTGTTCAGCCCTAGGAGCTGAGGACAACTACACCTTGGTCAACCACATCATTGCTACAGGTGCCTGGGAGACTGGAGGGGGGCAGGTTCCTGTGGAATGAGTACCGAGGTGGCACTTGGAAGTTCCTGGACAGGTGCTAGGCCTTGGGTTAGGACTTGAGATGACATAGGAAGTTAGATTGTGTGAACTTACCTAGAAAAAGGAACCAAGAACCTGAAGAAAGCTGAAGTCTGAAGCTAAACTTTTGTCATGGGTAGAAACAAAGGGACACAAGACCAGAATGGTGAGGAGGGGACTCCTAAGTTCTCTGCAGGCCAGCAACTCAAGGAGAAGCATTGGTAGATACCCATAATTGAGGTGAGGGAGAGAAAAGAAGAATCAGTGGGTCAGAGAGTGAAGGATGTGATTTGAGCAGATGGGCCTTATTCTACTTCTCTGTCCAGAGTACCTGAATTATGAGGATGGGAAATTCTCCAAGAGCCGGGGTGTGGGAGTGTTTGGGGACATGGCCCAGGATACAGGGATCCCTGCTGACATCTGGCGCTTCTATCTGCTGTACATTCGGCCTGAGGGCCAGGACAGTGCCTTCTCCTGGACAGACATGTTACTCAAGAATAATTCTGAACTGCTTAACAACCTGGGCAACTTCATCAACAGGTGGGACCTGGTGAGGGGTTAAATCATCAGATGAGCTAGGGGCCAGCTCACTGCTCAAGATGGGAGAGGTGGAAATACCAAGAGGGCTAGTGAACGGGCAGGAGGGAGGGGGAGGACAGTGTGGGAAGTGGATTTTTATCAGTTGGGACCTGCTTCTAGAACATAGTAGGCTATATATGCTTGGAGGAATATTGTAGATATATGATTTAGCAAAATTGGTCACAAGGAGCATTTTGCAAAACATGTTACTATAATAATGGAATGTGAGCTGAAAGTAAACTTTGATGTTCTGCAAGTGAACTGTTTGGCTAGGGGGAAACACTTCCAGTTCCCCTAGCCAAACAGTTCACTTTCAGAACATTGAAAAGTTTGGCTTAAGAAGGGGTTATTTTAGTATGAGGAGAGGAGATTTCTGCCATACTCTTTGGAGTTTCTGTTACTTTCAGCTCACATTCCATTATTAGTCCTTATATCAGCTATTCTGCAATTTGAGGAAGTATTCTCCATGGCTACCCACCCTTTTAGACCTGGTCATTAACCTGGTCTAGTCCCTACTAGAGTATTGGATAGCAACTAACATATATTTCAACTTGGTCATTCTGAGTATTGACTTCTTAAAAATAAAATGAACACTTGATTAACTTTATTAGATTTCTTTAAATAAGGGATATGGTATGTGAAATGTCTGTATGTGCAGTCATTATCTTAAGGGAGAGAGAGAGAATAAAGAGTTAAGCTTTGCCTTCCAGCTTGAGGGAGCCAGGAGGTATAAATTCTGAGAGAATGGGCTATTAAGAATATTGGACCAAATTTCTATAAGAAGACTGGGCATAACTCCTCTGTTCTCTCCCCTCTCCTTCCCTACTCCCATCAAGAGCTGGGATGTTTGTGTCTAAGTTTTTTGGGGGTTTTGTGCCCGAGATGGTGCTTACCTCTGATGATCAGCGCCTGCTGGCCCATGTCACCTTGGAGCTCCAGCACTATCACCAACTGCTAGAGAAGGTTCGGTAAGTGAACTACATCTCTGCCTCATCTCAGTGAACTGCTGGCATGTTGAAAGCCCCATACTGGTCCCTCCAGGACCTTATATCTTGGCCTGCCTCTTCCCTTCCCAGGATCCGGGATGCCCTACGCAGTATCCTCACTATCTCTCGCCATGGAAACCAGTACATTCAGGTGAATGAGCCCTGGAAGCGGATTAAAGGCAGTGAGGCTGACAGGTAGGTATGGAGGTGTTTTTGGGTGTAGGAATAAAGTGATTGTAGGCTATGTCCTCTGGGAGGTCCTGACTAATATCGTTTCTTCCCCAGGCGGCGGGCAGGGACAGTGACGGGCTTGGCAGTGAACATAGCTGCCTTGCTGTCCACCATGCTGCAGCCTTACATGCCCACAGTTAGTGCGACTATTCAGGCCCAGCTGCAGCTCCCAGCTCCAGCGTGCAGCATCCTGCCCACAGACTTTCCATGTTCCTTATCAGCAGGACACCAGATTGGCACAGTAGGTCTGAGGGCTGAAAGAACCAGTCTCTCTTAAAATTGCTACCTTTGCCATACTGCCTTTGGGGAGGAGTCAGGAATTTACTTTGGGCATAGGACTCCCACAGCCATTCTCTGAACCTCTTCCCCTCCAACCTGCTCTGCACTTAGGCTTGTTTCTGATACAAAGTTCTTGTATTGGTTAAGCCCCATAGTGTCTGTAGCTCACACAGCCTCATCATTCTACATGCCAGTGTCCAGTACCTGGCATGTAAAACTAACTGGTGTACAGTAGATGGTCCTCTGGTCTCCATAATGCCAACAGGCAGTGAACCAGGAGAGTACAGGGGAGCCATTTTCTCTTTGCCACAGAAGATAAAGTAAGTTTACCTCTAAACTTTTCCATCAACCCAGCATTAGTTTAAGGTCTTGGACCCTGTAAATACTTGGAGCTTTCATAGTGAATGCCAGCACTTTCAGGAATCTTTACTGAAATTGGCAGGTTTTTGCTCAGTGTTCCTCAGCATGCCCTCTAAGCACGTTTAGAGCCCCTGCATGTCGGGCCAGGCTTGTGGCAGTGCTCTGTGGTCTCCTAGAGTCCGGGCCTATCAGTGGGTAACTCTGTACATCTTTTCTGATAGGTAAGTCCATTGTTCCAAAAGTTGGAAAATGACCAGATTGAAAGTTTCAGGCAGCGCTTCGGAGGGAGCCAGGTGAGAAAGCTGAAGACTGTGCTCTCACCCAGCAACAGCCACAGCATCCTCTCCTTGCTATCCCTAAGTAGTCCACACTCATTTCCATTTTCCATCTTTGGCCCTGCTGCTTCCTTACCTATAGTTTTTCTTCTCCTGTCATAGCTGGAAGAGTCCTCGGAGTTAAAGGTAAACGCTTTCCTCCTGAGATGTTACATAAAACTTGAGATCAGGAGATATTTATGGTAGATGATGATAATTCTGTTGTTCTGCAGGCAAAAGTGTCCCCAAACCCAGCAGTTGTAGAGACTATGACCACAGCTGGGCCACAGCAGATACAAGTGCTGATGGATGAAGTGACAAGACAGGTATGTAGCATAAGCCCTGGGGGAGACAGGATCAGCCGAATCCTAAACAGGCCCTTTCTACTCATTATTGTGATATCCCCACTCCCTCTTCTCTTAGGGCAACATTGTCCGAGAACTAAAAGCACAAAAGGCTGACAAGAACCAGGTCGCTGTGGAGGTGGCTAAGCTCCTGGATCTGAAGAAACACCTGGCTCTAGCTGAGGGGAAACCCCTTGATACCCCTAAAGGCAAGAAGAAAAAGTGAAAGTGAGAACTTAGCTCATAGAAAGTCACTTTAATGGATATGGGCTGTAATAAATAAACATACAATCACTATGTACAAGCTGAGACCCTTTCTGACTGTCTACCCCAAGTGCCCCTGACTGAATAGTTGGGGTTGAGGGTCACATTATTGGCACTGGTGAAAGGTGGTCAGTAGCCACTTCTGGAAAAGTAAGTAGTGGCCTGAGGGGGAAGTGATGGTCCCAATTGTTCATGTTTGGTGCAGACTGACCATTCGGTCAATCAGAGCTCGGCGAGTCGCCTCCACTTCCCTGGTCAGGCGCTCAATTTCCTGCTTGAGTCGTTCATTCTCTTCAGCTAGCTGCATCACTTTCCTTTCATTTTCTTGTTCTTTCTCCTTCATGCGTTGCTTTCCAGCCCCGGCTGGGGACTGGCCACTCCGTTTCCGTTTCCTGGGTCTTCCTTGGTCCTCCTCTTCTTCCTCCTGAGCCAGGGAGCTCTGACTGGAATCTGGAGAGCAAGGATTCTGGGAGGTGTTTGTGCCCTCTGCTGGCCTTGGCTCCTCAGTCAGCCATGCCAGAGAGGCAGGGTCAAGAGTGGTGAAGGTTTTTGATTCTTCCTTCAAGGGAATGAGGAAAGGCAGGGTAGATACTAGTTGAAGGGGAAAAGGCAACATCCCCCTCTAGCTTTAGGCTTAGCATTCTCACCTCTTCGTTTCCAGGGGGTGAGACATAGGTACCCCCATTTTCATCTGAGGACAGCACCTCCTGCAGGTCCTCATACCAGGCTTCCAGCTCCCAGCTGGACAGGGTCCCGAAGGAGAAAGGCAATGACTCAGCTGCCATCCTTGCGGTTGGATCAGGTTCTTTGGAAAAGTGCAGTCAGGGTAGCAGGGGTGGGTGGAACAAACTCCATAAAGCATGTAAACAGTTTCTACTATAGGCTGGCAAACTGGCTACTGCCTGTTTTCGTAGATGGAATTTTATTGGAACACAACCATGTCCATTTATCTGTACATTGCTGATGTCTGCTTTCATGCTACAACAACAGAGATGAATAGTTGTGACAGACTGTGGCCCTCAACGTCTAAAATATTTACTATCTGGCCCTTGAAATTTTACCAGCTGGTCTATACTAATACGCCCTCCTTGCTTTTGCCCAGCACTTGGAGAAGCAAGGGTCTGGGTATATATTCTTAAGGGTTTCTGGTAAAAGTCCTCAGCCCCCTGGGGAACTCCACTGGTAGTTCCTTTTTCCTGTGTGGGGAGTCCTTTGAGTCAGTCTAACCTTGATGGAGACTAAGGTTTGGTAAAACAAACCATTTATCTCTGTTGGGGCTGAATGCTAACTCAGAGCCAACTTTCAACTGGGACATGCTCTAAGAACAGTGATATGATCACCTTATTAGGGGGAGGAGGAGGATGGACGTGGCTTTAGACCCTTCTCCTCTCGTCTCTAGGTGTTTGCATGATTTAGGGTCCCAGTAAAGGGAACCCACACAGCATCTCTTAGGAGTTAGTTTTGGGAAAAAGTTGGTTAAGTTTACCTGTTCAGGTGTGGTGATGTATGAAGATACACTTCCTTCTGGAACACTGTGGGGGTCAAAGGTAAATGTTAGCCATTTTTGGAAGGGGAAGAGTCAGATTGTTTTATCTCCAGCCTCCTATCTGTCCTTCCTCACTTCCTGTCCTGTAACGTATGTATAGTTAACAGTCCCTGCAGCCATTTCCAAGGACAGAGAGGAGCCTGACCTCCTTTATTTTTAGTTGCTGACATTGTAGTCCTGATTACATAATAGGAAAGCCCCAGCCAACTCTGCTTTCTCTAAATTCAAGGCAGGCCCCTCACTGCCAGGGTAAGGACTAGGCTACAGGAAGGGAACAAATCAAGTGACATTTTTTTCATTCCATTCCTGCACCACCATCCTCCAAATGTACATTTCCAGACTGGACCTCTCCAGGGACCTCCAGCTCTGCTATCTAACTGCTTACTTGCCACCTCTTTGGGGACGTCTAATAGGCATCCCAGACATACTATGTCCAAAGAAACTCCTGCTACCTTCCATGGTCTTCCCCGTATTAGTAAACGGCAACTCTAGTTGCTTAAGCCAATAACCTTAGTACCATCCTTGATTCCCCTCCTATCATACCCCACAATGCAATCCAAACCACAAAATTTCTTAACGCGTTATTCAAAACCCAGGATATAAACACACCTCATCAATTCCATTACTTCCGATCTAGATTAAGTAACTATCTTCTTGGATTACTGTGGAAAGTCTCCCAGTGTCTGCTCTTGCCACTCCTCCTAAATCTATTCACAACACAGCAGCCAGGGTAAGCCTTTTAAAACTAGTCATGTCATTACTTTGTTCAGATTTCATGAATATTAAAGGTTAAAGTCCTTAAAATGGTTTAGAAGGCTCTACACAACCTGCTTTTTCCCTGCCCTGGATTTTTTGTTGACCGCTCTCCCTTTTGCTGTCTCTAGTCCATCACACTGGTCTCCTGTTCCCTAAAGATCTGCTATGCATGCATGCTTCCACCTTAGGACCTCTGCTCTTGCTGTTCCTTATGGGACACTCCTCTTCTTATCTTCATTGCTTACTGCCTTGCCATTTAGGTCTTTAAATGCTACCTCAGTGAGGAAATTCCTGACCATCCAAGGTAAAACTGTAACCCCATTCTGAGCATTCTTTACCCTTTCACGCTCAGTCTTCCCTATGGCACTCATATGTTTAACTGTATCCCTCTTCCCACTGAAATACAAGCTGAAAGCCGAGCCTTTCTCTCTATTGTCAATGGATTATCTTGGACCCTAACCTGCATGGCACATAGTAGGTGCTCATTAAGTATTAGGAATGGATAAATTCTCCCCAATCTCACAGGGAAGGGAAGACCAAGCCCAGAGGCAGAGCAGCAGCTGCCTGTCCCCGGGGAATGGAGATGCAATATCACCCCGAGTGTTTCTCTGCAGGGCTGTCCTCCCTGGGGAACCCTCCTTGCCTTCCAGTGCGTGGGACATGGCTTTCATCAGCAGTGGAGCCCCAGGCCAGAGGGCTGCAGAGCCAAACGGGGGTGGCCTGATGCAATGGTTACACAGAGATTAGTTGGAGACAGGACAGGGGGCAGGAGGCAGGGACCAATACCAGGGGAAGGACAGTAAATACACTGGGGAGATCCCAAATGGCTTCCCGCACTTAGGAGATCCAGGATGCTCTCTTGTGCAGGAGGCGCAGGGACCTCTGGGAGAAGGGCAAACCCATCTCAGCAACTGTCCATCGGCACCCCTCCCAAAGTCTTGTGTCAATCTCCTTAAAGCTCTACTCTGCTAGGGTGCGAAATGGCGGCCCTATGGAGGGTCCAGGAGTCCCAGCTACCGACGCGGCCACGCTGTCCCGAGACCCTGCGGTTAAGCGTACTGGGGGTAGTGAACGGGGTACTGCCTTTGGTGGCAAAGCGGCCTGAGTTACGGTCACCCAAGATTCTCGGCGCCGGGGGTGTGTCCTGCTGCCCCGTTTCCCACTGGACAGGCCTAACAAGGAGGCCTGGGGTCAACAACGGGAACGAAGGAATCTCCCGAGATCAGCCAGGGCCCTCGGTCATCAACACAGAGCAGGAATCGTGCTGCGGGAAGGAGTGCACGGACGCTGTCGTCCGAAACAAGAAGGGTCTGTAAGCACCACTTCTGAATAAAGGGTTCTCCCCACCCCTTGTCAGACGGTCACTAACTTTACTGTGGAGGGAGTGGGGCCACATCCTAAAAGGTGGATGCCTCAACTTTGAGGGGACAACCGGGTTCGGCGAGGATGGGAGTTTGAGGTAGATGGGGAATCAGCACTTGCCTCTCTCCTCGGGTTCCAGCTCTGATTTTGGCTCTGTCGCTGCCACCCACTCATCTTCAACATGATACACGCGACACCTCAGACTCAAGCCTCTAACCTCACTGGTGGGGAGCAGTGATCTTTTAGCAGAGCCTTGTCCCACCCCTTAAGGGGCGGATCCAGAAGCCTACCAATTAGGAAGCGGCACGCCAGCTTTGGCCCCGCCTTACCACTGACATCCACCACTCAGGAGCTCCTAGGTACCGCCCCTGTCACGCCCACCAGCTGGGCGGTCGACGTCATGTTGGACCCGGAAGTGGCTGTGGGTCACGAGGCTTCGCGGAGGAGGTGAGTGAGTCATGCGCGCGCGCGGAGGGGAGAGCTATGGGGGAGGGAAGGGGAGGGGGGCGGGGATGATGCAATGTTTGGCAACCGGTGTCTGTGCGCGCACGCGCAGGGGACTACAAGGGTGGTGGGAGGTGGGGGAGAGGAGAGAGGCGGGGTGCCAACTCCAGGCACCCAATATCCCCAATGGCTATCAACCGTGGCCACCCGTAGGCTGCCGTGTGGATCCTCAGTAAAGCTTGTCTCCTTCCAGCATTAGCTCTTGTTCCGCCCACCTGGCATTAGCCCCCGTTTTACCTTGCTCACAGGGGACTCTCATTTTCCTTTGCCCCCTCCCAGCTAATGGACGCAAGGCCCTTTAAACCAACCTCCCTTCGAAGTTTGCATCCATCCAATAAGACTGCCTGAACTCTTTTCGAGTGTTCTTAAAAGGGTCTTCGCTTTTAGACCCCTAACTCCTCCAAAAGGGGCGGAGGAACTTGAATCCTCTTGGTGGTCATTTTCAGCTCCTCTCAGAGAAGCACCCTTTTATCTTTTTCACGAGCCCTCAACATGCCAGAATTCATGTTCTTCGCCGGATAGACCCGATTCTGTTCCCTCGTCCTCCCCCCATGGTGCTCTCGTGCCCTTTTGCCAAAGATCAAGACCTGCCCTTTTCACTGTATCGGACTTACAAGTCCTGTGACTCCCTGCTGTGAGAACCCGGGCACATGCCTCCTGCCTCCTAGGCGTTTGGGCCACAGTAGAGCCTTGTTGCCGAGGTCAGTGCATGCACTTCAGCCCACGACTGCTTTGGCTTAGGTTGTCAGAGGCAGTTCTAGCCTCAGCTGTCCCTCACTCGCCCAGGGATCCTAGGCCAGCCCAGGGATCCTAATCTCTCAGTGCCTCACCATTTTTGTTTGTAAATAAGAGTTGTAAAGGTAAAATGAGAGAGGTAAAATGAACTTGGAGGCAGCTTGAACAAGTGAACATCGCCGTGCAAAGTAATTTTCTTATGCCATTAGGTAGAAAAAAGAGGCCATTTGATGGCCTGTTACATATTCTGTCATACCTTCATGGGAGCAGCCAGAGTTTGTCTAAATAGAAATTGCCACAAGACCAGCGGTGGCTAGATGGCAGGTATAGGCGGTGGTGTGACAGTGACAGGTCCTTGACCAGGCCTGCCCCGTTTCTCCAGACCTCCATTTCCCCTTCTGTAAATGGGCATCGGGTGGGGGAGGTTGGACCAGATGGTCTCTCCTGGCCCAAAGACATGACCAGGTTGCCAGTGACAGGCAGAGGTCATGTGATTTGACAGGCCGAGGTCGTGTTGTGACAAGTTGACCTGGGGAGGCGGGTCAAGTCTCAGCCCACTGCCCGGGAAGCCTTTGGGGCGGGGCAGGGCAAGTCGCGACTTTCATCTTTTGGGGCTAGCCCCTCCCGAACCTGGCATTCCTGGCTCCCCCAACAGATTGTGGCTTTGGAAGGGGCCCATTCCCTGGGGGAGGACTGGGATTGGCCACTGGTGACCTGGGAAGAGACTCGGATCCTTCCGCGGAGGGCGGGGGTGCCGCGTGGGGTGTTTGTTCTCTTGGGGATTAATGGGGGTTTGTGGGGGAGGGGGAGGCGCGCTCCCGCATGCGCACTGCGGCCCCTCCAGTTGGCTCGTCGTTGTGCGCTGGGCGGGGGCCCGGCCCCGCCCCTCTCCCGTCCGGGCAGTGGCGGCGGCGGCGGCGGCTGCTGCGGCGGTGGCGGCGGCAGCTACGGCGGCGGCGGCAGCAGCTTGCGCGGTGCCTTCTGGGAACGGAATCCCCAGGGCTGCCCCTGGCCCCCATGGCGCATGCGCGGGAGGCCGCTCGGTGATCCGCGGCAGCGGCGGCAGCGCTTCCTGCTAGCACCGGCCGGGGCCGTACCGGAGGCTCGGGCTCCACCGACCCTCCTCCCACTCCCTCCCACTCACCCTCTGGGCCGCGACTGCGCAGGGCGGGGCCGGCCGAACCATGGGCCGCGGTGAGTGCAGGGCCCGGCCCCCCCGCCCCTCCCCCTCCCCTCCCCTCCCCTCCCCTCCGGTCCCTACCCTCTGCCCCCTCCGCGTCCCTTCGGTCGCTTTCGCTGGCCCCATCCCCACTCCCCCACCCTCACCTGCCCCACCGTTTCTCCCTCTCACTGCTTGACTTTTGCCTTCTTCACCTCCCTCCCCTCAGTGCTTTGCCCACCCTCCGCCCGCCCTCTCCCCAAGTTCCTTCCTACTTCGTGCGCCTTCCCCTCCTCCCCAAGCTAAGGGAAGCAGGCTGGGTGACAGGGCGCCTTGTTATGAGAGGGAAAGTTTAGAAGCCGCCAGTGTGGGGTGGGAGCAATGGAGAGGCTGGGGAGATCCTTGCAGGGTTGAGGGGCGTCCCCACATATCAGAGGAGAAGCCCTCCTGGAGCTAATTTGAAGCCAGTGGG